ACAAGGCAATGACAATTTTCTCAATTTAAATCCAGATCCCCCTCAAACGGGAAGCGGAGACTCCTGGAGCAATGTAAATCGGGCCAGGCGAAGATAAAAAGTGGACTCACGGGGAAGGAGGGTTGGCTGGAATCCGGAGGCTTGGAGAGTTCGGAAAGCCTGGAAGTGAATCAGATTGGCCAAGAACAGTTATTCCATCCAGGAAAAAAAGACAACTATCCATTTGGGTGGTTTCCCTTTGATTATTTGCATAAGATTATTTATTTATTTCATTGCTTACATGTTGTGAAATGGATATGATTTATTGCTGAATCAGTAAACAAATATGGAATATGTATATTTTTAAAAAACACACTTAATAATGATCATTTTGATTTATATACTCAGAAAGGAATACATTCTCTTTTATTATTAAATTATGGGCCAGTGATAGCAGAAAGTAAGCAATGAAATACTTTTTCTTTTAGACTTGACCGATATAGTCATAATGTTTTATATTATTTAATTGGAAAAAAATTGTTTCAAAATTATATTTAAGTAGCTTCGTGGTTTCACCTGCTATGAATTAAATTAGAATGATAAATACTTGTTTTAAAATCATCACTAAATGAACAGGCACTCCCTATGATTAACTGAATAAACACGAGATTATTGTATTAAAACAAAAAGATTAATAAAAAAAAAATTAAAGAAAACCAACCGCACATCTAACAATACTTACAAAGAATTGTAAATAGATCTTGCTAATCTTAAATCGAAATTTGTAAACTGATAAACAATTTTAATCTTACTTATTTATATTTTGGTTTTCACATACTCAATTCAAGATATTATTTTTATAATTCTAAATCTACTCATTTAACTTTGGCTTATCTGTCGTTATCATAGAATATCTTGGTAAATTACAAGTAATTTTTATTTTCATTAATATTTTTAAATATTATTTGTTTGTGTTTCGTCTTCTTTTTTATATATATATTTATTAACATTAGAAATTACCTTATTATTTTATCCTTTTCCTTTATAAATTTTTTAACCAATAAAAATGATGAAAATAATTGTTAATCTTTTAGGATTTTTTGTTAAACTCTAAAGCCTGTGATTCACTTTCTATAATATTGTATTAAAAACTCCGTATCGGATTAAATAAAGGATTCATTATTACTTTTTTTTGTTTCACGGAAGACGTAGTATTTATTATACATAATAGTTAGGACCTAATTTGGTCGATGAAAAATAACATTAATATTTTTTTTTATTATTTTATATTAGCGATTCACCAAATAATATTTTCAGTTCCCAGGAACACGGACTGTTGCATTTTTTTTTTCTATCGCCATAAACGGTAACAAAAAAAATTGATATTCGGTATCACTCCGTTAAATGAGATCACCACAAGTAGATTCCGGTTTTCTTTAAATAATCCCATTGTTTCAATTCTACATTTTTTTTTTTTATTTTTTTTTTTGCCACTATTTTATGTAGTTTATCATCTGATGGAACTCTGATCTCTGTAATAAACGGAATTATAATTCCTTTGCCTGCACTTAGAATGTCATGGTCATGGCGGTGGATTAACCTATACGTAAGTATAGGTTGATCTAAGAACAGTTTGACATTTCGAATGGAGATGATTGGCGAATGGATATTTATAATTTTAGCAATAGTGATCCATTAATCCTAGTTCTTAGCTATTGCTTGGTGCGCTATTTTAGCGCTTCTGCAAGTACTTCTTACCCGCAAGTAACGTTTTTATCAAAGTTAAAACAATCGATTCCACTTCCTTTTTGTATTGGCGACATGAATCACTCGGTCTCTCTCTATCGATGGCGAAGCTCTAAAACCTTGTAAGGTTATAGGATACGAACTAGGTTTAGAATTCAACAATCGATATAGTTGTCTGCAGAAAAAAAATGTCTCTTCGTAAGACATCCTTATGCATAAAACTTGGTCACTGCTCCTTATTGTTGATTTAATAATTATACTAAGCTATTGCCTAAAATATTACAGAACTGCTGATTTTATCATTACAACTCCATTCCAATAGGTCGCGACGCCTTAAGTATTCCACAATTAAGGAAAGAGGGTAACAATGCATACATTTTATCATTGATAAATTTTATTTTATTTTATTATTGTAAATTTATTGTTGTATAAGCAAACATTTGAATATGTTGTTAAAATCACAGAAACGATATATTTTAAAGTTATTCATAAAATAGTTATTAATTGAAGTTTTATTGGCGCTTTCTATTGCAGAAATAAAAACATAGTAAGATTTCTTAACATGGCTGTTTTATTCTTGAAAATGAGATACTTGAGATCTTATTTAATTTTTTGTTTATCTCCGAACCGGTCGAGAAATGAATACATTTTCACTTAGAGAACTCGGAACACGATCCTTACCCTCCATACAGCACTAATGACGTAAGAGATTCATCAGAAATCTCTGAATAGGCGACACAAAGGGGGTTCGGAGAAGGCTGAAAATATTGATAAAGAGCTCACAAAGAAAACGTTGGGGAGGAGGGTCTGAGAGGAAGAAGGAAAATTTTCCAGTTTGCTTGTCATCCCCTTTTGGTTTCTTATTTAACGAGGTCTCCTCGAGGGGAGGGAGCGACAATGGGCTCGCCCCGAGGATTGAATATTTAAAAAATCCAGGGAGGAACATCTTCAGGAGGAACTGAGCGGCCGGCTGAAAGAATTTAATGGCTACCTCCACCTCATTCCCTTCCTCCGCTCTCTGCATTAACGACTTCCTCTAGTTCCCTTCTTCCACTTCGCCTTTGTCTGCGCGACACCCTTCTTTCGCTACAGCCATTTCAATTTAGAAGAATTCACTGAACGTAAAGAGAGAAAAAAAAAAGTCTCGTTCGTTAGTTGCTAAATTTTAACTAGAGGAATTGGTTGTTCCTTATTTATTATGTCAATGTTCCAAGATCCAAGTGGTTGGAATAAAAAACAAAAAAACTTTGGTCCTTTTTATGTCATACATGTTTCCATATGAATGGATGATCTATTTTAATTGCTTTTATTTGTAATGAATTACTGAAATTACTATTTACCTGAGTATCTATACCTTACTTAAATCTATTTCAGTTCTATCTCGACTTACACGATTATAATCCGGGTTTTTATGCATGAAAACTTAAATTGTTTTACACGAACTGCCAGTTGTGTCCTTGAAGAAGAGCTTAAAAAAAAATAGTTCCACCTAAATACAAAATGACGACTAATCAAAAATTTACTTGCGATCTTTTTTAGTTATTGATTTATAACATGGGCCTCCAATGTTTTTGGACAATGGGCTACATTGAGACCTCCATTATGCCCCGCAGGCCGCTTAGAGATCTTCACTAAGTCTTACCAAACTACCAACTACCAGTCGCAGAATCTGCGCGATTGACACTGATGAAGAGAGACCTAAAAAAAAATGTGGTACGGTCTTATAAAGTTATTTTATTAGAATCCATCGCCACACTTCAAAATTAAAGAAAAAGAAAAATATTTCTGAAGTCAAGAATTATTTTAATGTGCATGTAGGTAAAAAAGTTAAGAATCTAGATAGTTCTTTCATAAACGATTAAAGAAGCTCTGTAGCAACAATAACAATTGGCAATTGATAAAGACGGATTCAAAGAACATATCTGTTAATTACTTCTGTGAGCTTAGTAGATAATCATAGGAAAATCTAAAAATGAAAGTTGCTACATTTTGCGATTAATTACCCTGATGAACGTTATCATCCAAGGTAGCTGCAGCCTTCACAGCGCCTATCTTCCTGATATCTCTTATAGTTATTTAGCATAATTGGAGAAAATTATAGTTTTATACTGTGCTCTGAGGAAACATAATATTCTGTCTTTCCTATTTAAAAAATATCTATCCTGATGGAAAAAATATTACATTGTCCTATGTCCACGTCCCTTTAAAGTTCGATAATGGTCTCAACCACGATTTTATCGGTACAACGATGATCACTTTAAAAATAACAAGAGAATTCGCAAAATACATCGTTTAGTGAAGAAACAGCAAAATAATATGCAAATGAGTAGACCTTATTTACTATATGAAGCAAGAATTATGTTTTCCTTCGTCGAGTACAATATTTCATCATTTGATATATTAGACCAAAATATTTGTACAAATTACTTTTTAAGGGCCTACTTCTAAAGGCCGAATATTGCCAAACATATTCAAAATAAGGCCTCAATGGTAGGATTTTATAAATTATTAAAAAATATAAAATGCACCAACAAAAAAATATCTTTAAGAAATAATGTAGTATATATCAGCCAGGGAAAAACGGTCGTTGAATAGTAAAAGCAGTATTTTCGAAGAGAAAGAAAGTTTTATATATATTAAATGGAATAATGGACTAATATATGGTAATAATAGTCAGATTTTTAGATTTTTGTTTTGTTTTGTAGGTAATTTAGTAATAGTTCTAATAATCATGAATAGTTTTTTAGTTATTCGCAAATAAAGTTCATTTTCCTTCATAACATTTTTTCCATAAATTTCGGTGATTAGATTTAATGAAGAATTGACGAAGTTATGGCGTTGTGACAAAAAAACACCTGTGAGAAATAATATATGAAGGTAGTAAATTTAATAAAAAAATAATTAGAACAGCTGAATTTTAGAAACGTAGTTAAGTGAGGAAAAAAATTGATATTTAAGATATATTAAATAAAACATTGATATGTCCTATCTGAACATACGAAAATATATTCTAGTCTGTAATAATTTGTTCTTAACCCATAAATCTACGAATTAATAAGGAAAAGTAAACATACAATTTATATTTTCAATAAAATTTAAGATCTAATCAACTCACGAATGTTTTTTCATATTCAAAGAAATAAAACAGATTTTTATCATTTGAATTTGAAATTTAAAAATTATCATCAGATAAAAAAAGAACTGAGAAGAGAAATCGAAGCGGGAGAGAGACCTGACCTAAAGTAGGATGAAGGAAAACCACATTTACTTCACACTCAGTCAAGGAGTTGTTTCTCCACCAGAAAAAAAAGAGGAATGAAATGGGTCAAATTGTGGAGTTGCGGGTCCTTCTTTCCCTCCAAGACTTGGGAAGGGCCAGATTCCAGAGAATTAGGGATGTCGCCATGGAGTCCGGCTGGAACGGGATCCCCCTATCCTTGGAGTATAAAAACTGGGACCCGGCTCCTGGGAGAATTTGATTTATCCGTTTCGCACATACTCTTGGTGAGTTATGGTTGGATGGCCGTTAACCCCTAGTGTACCTGAGCGGTGGATGTGCTTTGAACTTAAGAAAAAGGCTTGTTGATGATGGAGGTGAGTAAACGACTAATGACAACACTAACGTCCAAGCACTATTTTATTTAAATACCAAGCATACTGCTAAGTTTAATAGCCAGTCCAATAAGTCACGACTTTACGAAATGAAGGAACTGATGTAATAAACTTATAAGTAAATGAGAAAATACTTTCAAATTAAAAATTTCCCATTCCAAATATTAAAATACCAATAGACGATTAGATTTCTGGGTTAAAATATATCGTGAGTTTCTGTAGTCATGATATCAAATTAAATTACATAACGCTTTTATACTCACCTAAGCGGAATCGGAAATATAAATCAAATCAGAATTAAAGAGACAAGCTGTCTGAAATGGTTTCACGTGAAGAATCTAATTAACCCAAATGGAATTTCATATGGTATCTTTTGATTTAAATAAATAAAATCGAAATTTTATATTATCCACGCCATTTTGTCATGGATTTAAAATTATTAAAAAAAAGAAGAGAGAAAGATCGTTTAAAGAAACATTTTTTCATATAGGTGAATGAAGGGATGATCTATTAAAGAACGACGCACAAATAAATATAATAGGATGTTCGGTTTACAGAATATGGAGTCATTGAATTAATTTTTAAATGGTCAAAAACCTATTTATAAATTTAATAAAATTAAATTTGACGGATATAAAACTTCCTAGGGTTTAAAACTAATGTAAAATCATACTAGTCCATTACTTACTAGACCAGTCTAATAGTTCTAAAATTTGTATATACTTATTATTAATATACATATATCAAGTGAACTGACCTGGAGAACCCTCTTCGGGAGCCCAGTCTTTTGGGAAAGCTGCTTGAGGTCCTTTGCGTCGGGATTGTGGTTGATGGCGAAGTAGGATTTCATCGTCCTCAGCTGATGGTGCTTGAAGGATGTCCTCATCCTTTTAGTTCTTGTGTGATGTGATCCGTTTGCTCCAGGAAGACCAGGCGTTCCTGGTCCAAAAGCGACGTCCAGGTACGATTCGGCATTTAAATCTGAAAAAATAAAATAAAAATAATTATTCATCTATAACATGTTTTTAAATCATTAATATAAGACAAAAAAATTAATCACTTATTTTTATGAAGAGTCATAAGCACCTCAAAGAACTGATATTAAGATTATGTTGGAAATTTAATAAATTTTAATTAATAATTAATAAATAACAAAACAATTTAAAAGCAGTTAATACGTTTTTAGAAAAAAGAAAAAATCCTTAGCTCAAATTCCTTTTTTCCTTTCAAAGCGTTTTTTTTTTGTCAGAACGCCTTATATTCATTAATTTGTCTTCAAACCCAATGATTAAGCATTTTAACTGGAGATAGTAATGTTACTAGTTGACAGCAGATTATCATCTTCTTAAGAAGGGAAAAATAATCTTTGTATTTGGCCGACATAGCATAAGGAAATTAATTACTTCTTACAACACATTGTACTAACTTCTTTCTGTATTGTTTTGTAATTTGTTCACTGACTAAATTGTTGAACTAAATAAATGTATATATACATATACATATACACATACATACATACATATATATATATATATATATATGTATATATTTTTTTTTTTTTTTTTTTTTCCGCTGCAGACCATGAAGATTTTTGGCCGCGAGTGTGATCCCGATTCCCGATTTAGAGTACGGAGTAGGGTCATCAATCCTACGACCAGTCGGTGTGAGTTTCCTCCAGTAGGCTGATGGGTCTCACATACCCGGTGAGCTGTAGAGAAATCTCGAGCTCCGCGACTTTCCTTGATGGAAAGTCACCCATCCAAGTAGCCACGTTCGGCGTTGCTTAACTTTGATTACCTATTGCAAGTGCCTTAGCCCGCAACGCTACCCCAGTCCATATATATAATGCAACAACATCTTTCCAACATTATTATTTTGCAGTAATACAAGTTAATTTATTTTTTGTAAACATGGTGTGAATGATCTTTTTTATCACTATTATGACAGAATTTGGTATAACTTTTATTTATTTATTTATTTATTTAGAAATATAATGATCTGTCACATGGACAATAATTATAGTGATATATTAACACATTCACACCAACGGTATAACTAAAAAAATAATTTAAAGAAGTATTTTCGAGAAATGATGACGTAAGCAATCGGATTAGCTGCTTCTTAAATTGAAGAGAATATCTTATTTGAATGCGAAAATCAAATTAGATAAAAAAGAAGAAGAAGTTAAATCCTTTTACTAACAATAAGTTATATTTATATAATTATTGCCGTTTCTATGCAAAACATTCATTAATACTGGTGACCATTTATGGTGACAAAACTACATACATTGCTGTGGCTCTTATCTTTTGGATTATACACTTGATAAATTTATATAGCCAAACAGCAGTACCTACTGAAAAAATGAAATAATATTCCGTTAAATAAATAAAAACATTGGAGGAAAAATATTAATAGAAGCTGCAATATAACATGTCCAGTGACAGCGACAAACCGATTTAAAATATTTTCATAGTGCCAGGACATCCCGGTGAGGTTAATCGCTAGGGGTAATAGAGAAGTTAAAAAAATAATATCAATTAAAAAGTATATAAATTAAATCAAACTAAAATCGGGTTATGAGACGGCTTAGAATTAATTACAGGATGAGAGAGTTTGATTTAGAGCAGTTTTTATTGGCTTGGGAGGATGATAAATTGCGGTGACATGAGCTGTAGCCTTACCGGGTTTGGCTATTCTCGTATTCGGCCAAGTATTTATAATTCTTCTGCGCCTCATGCTGGCTTCTTTCGGAAAACTCGAAACATATAAATAATTGTCAATTTACTTAGTAATCGAAATAAAAATAATAACCAAAATTGGCAGAGTCATAACTTAATGCTGTAGAATTGATTTTTTTCTTCAACTGTCATATTCCTGCGATTTTTTTTTTATTTATCTTGTTTTAATTGATTTATCACCATGTAACATAATAATAATGCTTTTTATAGAACTAAAAAATAAAACATTGGCTTGACAACTGTAGAAAATACAAAAGGGATAATTACTATAAGTTTACCTCGACTGAATAAGCAATGAACAATAAAAAAAAGGTTTTTTATTTCAAATTAAAAACTCCTCACACATTGGACCAATCAACTGTCCAGACGCAGTTTGCAATTCATTAAGATAATAAAAAATCTCTGTTCGTATTTAATACATGTAATGAGAATGCAGGTACAAATAAGAAGAAAACTCTGAATCTAGACCAAAAGCTAAAATTATTGGTTAGAAATAATAAGTTATTTTAAATTAGACCTATTATGGATTTTGGCCTCTGTCGATTCATTGAAATATTTCATTATTTGATGCTTATTCATTTTTAAAACAAGTGTTGTATATCAATGAAATTATTTTACAAAAAAAAAAAATTTTGATCCACGTCTTCGACTCACGAGATAATTAACGTGTTGAGTTTTTCCAAGTAATTCACCAAAAATCTGTTTTTCAAAATATAGAGTTAATCTTTTTTAAATCGATTTTTAAATATTACAGATTTCGCGGTTCTAGGTATATGTTTGATGACTGGTTTTAAAAGTTTTTATATGGGCTGTCATATAATATGAAAGACAAATAAGAACAACAAATATTTTTCACTTGATATCAAAATCTTAGATTTTGATGGATTTTTTTCAGATACATTATCAATTAGAATCTTTTCATCCAAAAATGATGGGATCACGAGAGAATCTTTAAATGTTGAGTAGGTAAAAAAAAAATATCCTCATTTTCACTTTAAGTGTTTTATTTCTATCTAGTTTTCTTGGATAAAACGTTTATTAAATAATGTTAACCACCAACAAATAATTTAAAATTGAGCCATTAAGGTCTCTGTTGATATCAAATTGAATGACAAGAGACAAATATTAAAGAACTTTGAAAATGCATGAATAACATTAATTTTTCTTCTTTTTTTTTTTTTATTGAAAATATGAATGAAAAGCAAGTTTAAGACTGGATTATCTATTTTGAAAAATCTTGATTTTTTGATAAAAGTTAAAGTCTTGTTTGTAAGGGTACTAGATATTGGTAAAAAAATAAAGTGAAAATCAAATATTACTAGTGTAGCCCGAACTCGAGACCGAGACGAGTCTTGATCTTGCAAATTTAGTCTTGGTCATGGTCTTGATCTTGCCCATGAGTCTCGCAACTGTCTTGCAGATACTTATTAGCTTATTACTATAGAGATATTACTGTAATTTTTTAGATAGGAGAATTCTTGCTCAGCCCGAATGAAAAATAAGAGGAGTTCGCCTTAATTTTTTTTTAAAAATCGATTTTCCTACCTTACTGACAGATACTTCAAAGTCAATCATAACAATGCTTATTCATCTCTTTTTACTCAGTCTGCCGGTGTTCCTCAAGGTAGTATCCTAGGTCCTATCCTTTACACAGTTTATACAGCTGACATCCCAACCCAATCCAACACTGTCATCACCACCTATGCCGATGACACGTGTATCCTATCAGTTAATAACGATCCTTTAATTGCATCCCAAACTCTTCAATCACATATCACAAGCCTTGAAGAATGGTGTAAAAATTGGAGAATAAAAATAAATTCCAACAAATCCCATCAAATCACTTTTACCCTCCGTCGTAAACCTATGACCTCTTGTCCTACAGTATCCTTCAATAATACTCCACTTATTCCTGTTGAGCAAATCCGCTACTTAGGACTCCACCTTGACAAACGACTCACTTGGAACCCCCATACCAGACTGAAACGACTAGAAACCGCCCGACGTTTTCGACTACTGCAGCACTTACTAGACAAACGATCTAAGCTTTCAATCAATTATAAACGACTCGTATATATGACAATAATAAGACCTATTTGGACTTACGGAATTGAGCTTTGGGGCTCCACTAAACCATCGAATTCCTCTCGTATCCAATCCTTACAATCCAAAATCCTTCGTAAAATCCTCAACGCTCCTTACTTTGTCACAAATAAAATCATCCATAAAGACCTTAATGTTCCATATGTTTCCGATCTGGCCCAATCCAGATACCTTTCCTTCCATAACAAACTGCAGAATCATCCGAATCCTCTCGTTTCAAACCTTGCTTCCTCCTCGATCCCTGATAACCCTCCGAGGCGTCTGAAAAGAAGATGGCCTCGGGATCTTCTAATATAGAACTTTAATTTGAGTTCTACCAATGGGTAGTTTCTCTTCATGTTGTACATGCCATGTTACAAATTTCTCATTTACTTATTGTATTCTCTATGTAATACAGTTGTAAATTCCATTGAAATAAAAAAAAAAAAAAAAAAAAAATCGATTTTTTTTACCAGTCCTGGTCTTGGTGTTGCCACAGTTAGGCGGTCTTGGTCTTGGTCATGCAAAGTGCAAGAGATATTTTGGGCAACACTAAATATTACTCATTTCATCCTTTTGAATCAATTACTTAATCAAATTAAATCTACTAGTGAAGAGCAAATATGCATCAGTTAACCGAATCGCATTTATTGCATTCATGACAATTGTTACGTATTCAAATATATATCATATGTATTTAATATGGAAAGGGATAAAACATCTTGAACATAATTTCCTAAGGACTTTTTACTTAATATTTCGTACTTGATTATGAATGAGTTATTAAAAAAGTAAGCAAGTTTGAAACGAAGTATTAACTTCCAAAGAGTTGGAAGAGATATAGTAAAGTTCGATTTGAAGCTTTTCTTGGAGATATCGTCATCGTGCTTTCTTTTAAGTATTATTAATTAATATGTTAAAAGTGCATGATTATAGTGTTTGACAGAGTGAAACACGAAAACATTACTTCAGTATAAATTCTTATTTAATGAATAAGACAACGTACTATTAAAATGTTCTTTAAACGATACGTTAAATTTCATAACTAAAAATATGAAGCAGTCAGACTTCAGGTTAAAATAAATAATTGAATTATCCTTTAGTAATCCAAGACTAATCCATGAGTACGTATAACATCATTATTTCACATATCGGATTCCTAATAGATTTAAAATCTGTTTGCGGCGGTGGTCCCATTGTGCCTGGCTTAGAAGTGGACCCTCGAAAGACTAGTGATCTTATTAGACGGTAGTTATGTTCCCAGCATAGATCAGTAAGCTAGGAGCGAGCACCGCCCCTAACAAGACACACGCGCCACCGGCGAAACGAAAACCAAAACCTTTTATCAAGAACCGTTTGTATATCCTATTAAAAAAGAAAATCTCTTCTCCGTGGGGCCCGGCGGTGATCTAATGACCGACTGATTGTGATACCGGCACGTGACCTAACGAGGGAGTGCGCCCAATTAGGGAGGACTTACCTCCTGCAGCTCCGGCCCCTCCTAGGAGGATTAGGTCCCTGCTCCTCGCATCCTGTCACACGGATGATGTCGGCTCAATGCCGTGTCCGATCCAGGGAGGATTTCTCATTGTCGGGGAGGATGAGGCTCCAACGGGAGGAACCATCTCGTCTTTCTGCGGATCTTCCCTGATGCGACGTGATGAATTGGAGGAATTTATCAGAGATTAATGTCAGGGCAATCATAATTATTTAACTAAAGCATTATGTATTATGAAGTAGAACGGAATTATTTTAAGACTAGCAGGCCCGTGCGAAAAATTCGCACAGCATATTTTTATCAAATGAAAAATTATTAAGAAAATAAAATAATGCAACGTATCAAAGGATAAAGAATTCCATTTTTACTTTACCGATAAATATAATCGACAAAGGAAACAACAATTAATTTAAATCTTCATAAAGTTTTGGAACCAATATGTTACAGATGTCAATAAGCTGAATCATTGCTAAAAATTGTCTGATTTCGATGATTTTTTAACATTTTTTAGGGAATTTAGTAATATTTTATGTAATCAAGGGCATAACCATGGGGAAATTGTGTAATTTTTTAGTTATTCGCAAATAAGGTTTATTTTCTTTCATAACTTGTTCTTTCAGGATGATTTGACTATTTTTCCCGGCTAAAGGGGAAGGAAGCCTTTGAAATTGGTGGCTCAATCTTGAGATTTGGTGAAGAATTAGCGATGATCGAGCTTGCTGATCAAAAACACCATCAATAATTAATACAAACTCCTCCTCTCTCGATCATAGAGGCATCAAGTCGACTAAATGAGACATCTATTCAATGACAGTACTACAATTAACGTAAGGTTGTGCGGATGCAAATCCTATACCTTGCGTTTTCTCGAAATTAGTACGCTTTTGGGCTTCGAAAAAACGAAGGATCCGATAGTTTCGATTGAACTATCCGGGTCTTACTGTACACATCAAAACCTTCAAGGTCCAATTTGTCCCGCATCCATCTACAGATTTACCACCGTTCTAGTATTGAAGCCTCGCAAAATGTTTGTATCGACTTTATTTATTTTGGAAAAAAAGTTGAGAATACGATTCGCTAACCTCCCGTGAAATCCTGAATCCAACGGTACCACATTCATGGTATTTGAGCATGACAGGAGCTTATATTTGGTACAAAACCTATTTCGATCCTTACTGTAATAATATATGTGGAGAATGTGGAGATGGGGGATATATGGGGATGGGGATTCGCAGTTGAAAGATACTGGCTTCTAGGCAATGTGTCTAAGAGTGCTATGGTCTTTTGACTTCTGTTCATTATTATAAAGAAAAATAATCACTAATAGATTGAAATCACTATTGTCCGATGATTAAAATCACAGTATCTCCACATTTTGTTTTCTAAATATTGATAAATTTAGATACAAATTATTCAATTCTGATAATTCAATCAAATGTCGAACATTTTCTTTTATAAATCAAGGATTTTTTGAATAATAAAAATTAACAAAAATATATTTTTGGTATGTCAAGCAGAGATTTAAATATATTTTTTAAAGTTATATTTTATAGAAATTCCGTTTAGTATACATGGGAACCATAACTTTTCTATCAATTATATATAAATGGACAATATCAACTACAAAAATAGAAATCATTACTTTTTATCACTCTAAATTACTTACTGGAATTTTATATTTTTTTAACATCAGTAATTTATTTCATAAAAAGTAAGTGGAAAATCAATAAAATGCTTTTTAAGTTATCTTAAACAGATTAAATTATTATTATTACGCATGATATTATTCTAGAAAAATGGAATAAAAACCGTGATCTATATTCAGTTTCAGGCTTGTTCCTCTGATGGTTTATGAAAGACGATTATTCTTTAAACAATCCATTCGTACCGGTTCTGTGTCTGATTCAGAAATCCCTCGGGGCGGAGCAATAAAGCGAAATAAATGAATTGGGGACTGATTTAGGTGAGTACTTAAAGGCGGGATATCGGCGTCGAACCCCGAGGCACAATTCCGCCTCCAGCTCACCGCGATTTACATATTAATTGAAAGTGCTGCTAACTCTCATAGGAGCCGTCTCTTTCTCGAGAGAGTTATGAGCCATACATCACACTTGTGAGTGCCCCTTTCAACGGAACCATCTCCCACATTGTACAATTAAAATAAAGAAACAAAAACCGTATGAGGAAAAAAAAAATACGAGGCGGTGGGTAGTGTGCTCTTTTTTATTGGCGGCAGGTCAGCGGTGGACCGCTGGCGCCGGTACCAATCTGAGTGGGTCATTTACGTGTTAATCAATACATTACCTATAAATATTGAACATGACCCTCAACAAAAAACAATACATAAATAAAAAAAAAATGATGAGATTCATATAGGTATGTAAATCCAACATAACAAGATAGCTAGGAGCACTAAGGATCGATAGATAGTCAATTCCACATAGACCTTCAATCGAAGATTGTTTTTCGAAATTAAGCTATGAAGAGTTATTGGTTGAACTGGAATTATCATCTTCCAGTTGAACCAATAAATCATTCATTGAAAAAAGAAAAGACTGATCGGTCAACAGTGGTCGTAGTGGTAAAAATAAGTCGATGAGAATATGGCGCATGATACTTCAATTTAAGTCAAAATGAATTCTTATTATTATTATTTTATTAATATTTTAATTATAAATTAATTAATTATAAAAATTCTTATCGTACTCGTGAATACAGTGCTTCATTTTCTGTCAACATAGTTTTGATAAGAGCTAGCGCTCAATCCAAACCATACCATAATAGATTGACAATTAGTAAAATTACAGCACTTTTTATTAGCATGAAATAGATCCCACAGCCAGCAGAATTTCAACTTTTCTATGTGTTCATTCAGAAGCACAGTAAAATAGTCCATCTCAGGATAATTCGATGGTGTTAAGGTTAAACAAGTATCCCCTTATCCAAAACAATAGCGCTTTCTTCCAAGGGCTGGCTGATCAAGATAGAGATTAAGGCATTGTGCAAATTTATTGAAGAATCCAAAATAGATTTTTAAAAATAAATAATAATAAAGTACATCTATATCTCCATTATACTTTAATATAACAATAGGGGTAGTATAGGACTTCAGTGGGAGTCTTGGGCCGACGAAAAAAAAAAAAAAATAAGGTACAACAATGTAATACTCGATTTAGAAACATTAGATTTTTTCATCATCCAATCTTAAGATTTTATATCTGTATGAGTAAAATACTGTTGTAATGTTGACATTCTTATCACTATTGTCGAAGGTTTTCTACATTATATCCATAAATGGTATTCATTATTATATCCGACGTGGGCATGGTATTTTAGGGTTGTAAGATAAAAATCCAAAATTTTAAAACTAAAGGTACCATAGTGATCCCAACACTAGGGTCTGTGGTAGGGGTAGTTATTACGTTTTGCAAGCTGAGGAAACTTTATTTCTGTAGAACATATGTTCCACTTCCCTGAAATTAATAATAATTCTCCATTTCTGTTATAAGAAGACGATAACTTTTAAGTACAGGATCGAGCCTAGGTAATTCACCGCTACTTACTATTACTCATCCACATTAATTTCGATGAAAAAGGCAAAAGTTTGTTTAATGATTAGTAAACTTGGGTCATCTTTCAGTTTAGAATTGAGCTACGTTTAACAATCAGGCAACTTGTTCATCAATATTTTTATGATTTAATTAACATTTGTGAAATATAGTTTTTAACAACAAGAAAAACATTATTTAACCTCCCCTACCAACTTAAATGTAACCCTTCGGTAGAAGGAAATCAAAGAGAGAAAATAATAAAGACTTCAATAAATCAATATTTAAAAAATAACAATGTACCTTGTCTTTTGCCAAAAATATGTATACATTGTCACTGTTAATATATATGTATTTTTTTTTCAATTACTCTTTAGTTCCATATCATTTCTCAAGATTTATTTAGAAGCAGCTCATAAATTAGGAGTAGCTATGATTTAATGGTGCCTTGAATAGCCTTAGCAGGAATATATCTGTCGTCTGATATTAGTTTTCTATTTTTGAAAGGTATTGGCTTATTTATTATAGACTCTGGTATATCAAATCGACCACAAGCCATTCTTACGGTATGGTAATCGATTGATCCGTTATTATCTGGAATTTAATTTACAATGATTTGAAAAATTTCGAAAGATCTTAAAAAGATAGGATAACATTTTAAGAGGCGAAAACTTAAAAGAAGTTGTTGGACTATGTGTTTTACTAAACAAAATATTTATTTTAAAAATCTTCAGTGTATTAACAAAGATATCAGGGACATAAATATTATGGAACATAAAATAGGTTTATGTTAATAAATCAAAGATGTGGCGACTGGATGATTCATGTAATCATTGCATCTTTGCAGAATAATTCCCAATTTGTCATGCTTAGCATAACTCTGTATTTCTTTGCTTACATAGCAGAACCCCTCTAAAACGATGAGCTCATCGTTCGAATTCATTTGATATAAGACTATCATAAAACACTAATAAATAAACACATATAACTGAAATGAATAACTGTCAGTATCAATGATGTGAAAAAGTGAATTTCTTTTTTTGGGATATGAGCGGCTGGTAGGGCCGACATTAAACAAATCCAGAAAATTCAACCTCCCTGTAATCTCCCTTCTTTTTCTCCACTTCGCCAATGGTTGCTTGGTATATGGAGGGCTGTTTGAAAGACTGCAGATGTGATTGAACTGTTTTATAAGATTCATCTTTGGCATTCTCATGTTTCCTAAAGGCACACCGAGTTGAAGTGGTTTATTCTACCTCCTGACGACAATTCCTTCTTGGTTTTTGTGTTTTCCAAGTCCTAAGAACTAGAATCCTTTCATCATCCTAGAACTCCTTACTCTACCTTTCACTACCGACTTTATACATCCCCTCATATAAAACTACATACATCAGCAAACCCTTCGTTATTCATGCTACCTCCTTTTGGAATTCTTTACCTATCTCCATACGTCAATTCTCATTCATAAATTGCTTCAAACAAATCTATGTAATATTTATAGGATTATGTAACTACAATTCCTCATTAACAATTAATCGACAGGTGCCATTTGATTTGATTTTTTTATATTTTTATTCTTGCTTATATGTAAATCATATATAATTTACTTGTGTTACTTTGTATAATTCAATTTACTGAATAATTTTGATTACATTGAA